CCACGGGCCAGAGAGAGCCCGGGATACGCCGTCCGGCCAAGGACGACCACGCTTCCACCGGAGAGGCCCTAGAGCGCGGGCCAGGGTATCTGGACGCGGCCAAGGGGGGACCGCGCCGACAAGAACACTAAGTCATACAATAAAAAAACTCTTTTTTGGGGCGCTCTTAGCTGCGTTCCCAAATTACAACACTAGACATAATAAACCTTGAAGGCTTGCATTGGCGTTAGCTCTAATAACAGCATCTAGGAGGTCAACTTGCCTATGCAATGACATTCCTTGGGTGAAATTGAGGACACAATCGTTCGCCACCTCGAAATGGACAACTTGCATTGGTGAAAAGCAGCCACTTGTAAAAATTGGATATAATACTTGGTTCCAAAATCGTTTACTATATAACGCGATTGGAAATCATGTTAAAACTGTGCTAAATGGCATACTTATTGTAAAAGAATGGGACCGAAATGTGTTATAACGATTCACTCGATGTACATGATTCTTACACATGTTGACACTATGCCACACAAGTTTTGCATAGTTCGAAATGTGTATTTTGGTCGATTTTTGCTCGCAATTGCAAGCTCAGGCTGTTGCTTTCAGCACGCTCTGTTGTCCATGGCTGGAGCAAAAGTTGAGCGGTGTGCCATCTTCATAGATCGTCAGTAGATTGCCGGCAAGTGCGAGATGAAGGACAAGCACAACATGGAAGAGCTGACTTGAAGCGAGGCAAAGCTCCTATCTAATTCCTAATAGAGCAATAGGAAGTAGGGATTATCCCATGCTTGAGCAAAGATTGGAAGCTGAAATACCAAGGCATCGAGTAGCTATGGCAAGTGCCTTTACATGACCTCCAAGCCACATACAAAGTTTCGTTGTTTCCACCATATTATATAGGACTATTGTGACTAGCACGAAGGGCAAAATTGACTATCAACATCATGCTCCAATTGTTGTGCCAAAACCTTAAAACCTTTCAATTGGCTGGATTTGGCATCCCAAGCGCCTGGGAACACTTGATAGTGTAAGTTGATCAGCCAGGGGTGAATTTCAAAAGAGGTTGTTTTGACAGCCAATTCCCAGGCCGGAGCTCTGCCTGCAAATTGAAACCCGCGCGCATAGCAATAGACCCATGTCATTGGTCACGATTTAGCTTGTGGAGGACCGCGGCTTTAGAAACTCTGTGAACTGCCACCGTACATATGCACAACATGCGTTTATCTCTGCCACATTGTTTGAATCGTGGCCTCACCATGACCAGACCTCTCCGGAGGCAGCAGTAAAAGATCGACTTGAATTCAGTTAAGCGGGGCTGATTTTGAGCAATGAAGCGACCAGAAACGCACAAACCAATCATCTCACGCCAGTTGCACACAGGGTCTGAGTCCCTCCCTAAAAAGGGATGCTCATTTGGCCTTTCAAGTCCTCTCCTCAGCCGGCGAGGAGGCCTAGCTGGCTGCAATGGCCATAACCAATGTGTGTTACAAACCGAGAGAGAATTACATTGCTTGCTCGCTGGATTATATAAACATTCACGTTCGTTCTTGTCCACACATCCTACAAAATATGCTACAGAGTATTCCCTACTATCCCTCTTTTAATACCTCTTGTTATTCACATCAGAACTTTCCGCTTAAAGTCCCATCACCACACAGCCCATACGGGCCGCCCAAATCCAACCAAATCTTCCAACTATTATCCAGTCACCTCACCTATTCCATAGTATACATATTGGACACTGATTCTCATTAGATTTTTTCACTTGAAGTTCCACTGAACCCTAACGCCATCACATTGCCACCGCTAACCTTGAAGAAACTGAATCCATGGTACTTAAGGCAGTATAGCCATGGTAGTGCAGCCATAGAGGATATGGTAAGATTGGCACAAATTCGCGCATATGTCATCATAAGCTAACCTATTTCCAAGGCTACAACTGATAACAATCTCCACCATTCCTAAAATACCTCAACCATTGCTCCTTTTCAGTTATACAAAAACTCTCAATACAAAATATCCCAAAACACCATTGGAAACAAAGGTTGTTTCTTAGGGTCCATTTATGTCGTTCTCCTTAAAAAGCAGAATCCTCAAAACCTATTAGAAAAACTCAAATTTAGTATCATTCAACATTAATTTGTATTTGAAATTGATCTGTACGATAAGTTCTTTATAATGACCCTATTTGACCTTTAATGGGATGCTTGGCTTGACTACAGTCGACCCCCCACATGGGGGCCCCATGTGCCAGGCCTCACATAGTAGCCTAGTATAGAGGGCTACATGGCAACGCCCGATCCTTGCTAGATACGCGCATATATCCCAAATCCCCCGGAGCGCCCCGCTGAGTCGGCGCTCAATGGTATGGGCGCCCCCCACCATCTCACTCCCCGCACTCGCACCCCCTTGCGCCCCTCTTCGGCCCACCGTCGGGTCAGCGCATTACTTCTAGGCAGGCTCCATGAGCAAACCCCTCGGGCGGGGTTGGGCACAAAGCCCCCCTCTATGGTTTGGGTCGCTTGCAATTCCAGAAAGACCCTCCCAATTTCAGGAATACATCCAGACGGCCTCGTCTGCGGTTCCCACACCCGTCCCCGGGGGATGCTCTCTCTCGAGTACCCCTCTGTATGCAACCTGCCCGGGCAGATCGGGAGCTCTGCCCCCGCCTCCTGATCCCCCCAGCCACCTGCGAACAATCCCCTTGGGATTGTCTTCGCTACCATGTGGCTGCCACCCCCTCCGCACAGTCCCATGGGTTCCCATGGGCTGAGCTACCCGATCAATTGGTGCTCTTGCTTTGTGATGCAAGGGCCATCAGCAGGTGCCTCTGGTCCATTTGGGTTGGTCGCTTGGCACTCGCACTGCGTCTTGGCCAGTTGTTGGGCATGCGGGTGGCTGGGTGCGGGCCTCACAGACCATGGTGTTTCCTGAGTGCTGCCCGCATAGTGGGTGAATAGCTGGGCGGTGTTATGTGACAGTTGTCTACTTGTTGGCATACATCCAGGCCGTGACGGTCCCTGTGAATTCCCTGTGGCCTCTCGGCGAGTTGCTCAAGGGGTATCCCTGAGGGATACCCCTCCGGCCTGTTTGCAAACTGTCGACCAAGGCCACGCCGGCCTGGAATCCTGGGCCTCACAGGGCACCAGCTTGGTAGTATTCGTGTAAAGATTCATGTGGCGTGGCAGCCATCCATTTGTATAGATTGGCTCCATTTACTGTGCCCCAAACAGCATCTATAATCTTGTTGAAGCATTGGGGAAGTGGCCACAATCCGTCCACTTATTATGACAGAAGGTTTCCGTGAAAAGCTAGGCGGCATGTGGTGGTAGGTTCCAGTCGGGTTAGTAGGATTCTATCAATATGTATTGTATATAGTAGGTACGCATCGATAGTATCCTATTAAGTGCCTTTCGTGGGACCTCTTTGGGTGGGTGCTTGCCAAGCGAATCCAAAGCAATCTCTTGGTGGATCCGAAAGCGGATGTTTGTGTTTGGTGACAGACACTTCTTTCATGTAAAGAACAGAAAAATGGTCCTCCCTGTAATTATTGTTCAGCAGTCCACAGAGTTGTTTCAACTCTCCTTCCTTCCAACTGGTTCAAATGCAGACACAGTGGCACAAGCGACTGCTTGATGCAACCTTTGGCTGTCTTTTCCACATCCTGGCATCCTGTGACCAACAAGCCGAAAAGGCTTGGCATCTCGTCGATGCCACTCTCCGCAGCAGCCAAGTCCATGGCGTAGACGTGAGTATTGACAGGCAAAGCATGTTGCCTCCACTCTTGCATTGATTTCCCACTCGGCACAAACTCTCAGCATGGGCTTGGCGTGAAGAGCGTCAGCTCGCTGCCCTGCAGGATGGCCAACCGGTCGCAATGATCAAACCTTGCCATCCCAGGGTGGGAATGGCCCACCAGTAGGAAATAACCCTTCGATAGTCAGAAATATCGTTAAGAATGACATGTGCAATGCTGCTGTATCAAAAAATGATTCCAACCATTGCCAACACATTTCAGATGGCTGGGCTAAATGGAACACGACATGGCTGTCAGTTCCTTCAGTCCATCATGAACAGAATGGGCCCCTCACAGAGTGCACATTCCAGGTTTGACGCCATGTTCATTGTCGCAAATTCCAACAGTGGGCAGACATCCAATGTCCTTGCACTCCAGCAACTTAAGAGAAGATACTAATGTACAGCCATGGCATGCGGCATGTTAGCCTTCTCTGCAGTGTTCCACGTTTGTGTTTACCTCCAATCACAAGAGGAAATCATTTATCACCCATATCTCAACAGCCCCACCCCCACCCCCCCAGCCCATCACACAAGCTTGTGCAGGTCCATCACCAGTCCATCACCCCCACCCCCACCCACCCACAGTGCCCCTCAGGGCCAAGCGCGAGCTAAATTAATAAATGGCATGGTCACCAGGAGCAGGACGCCAAAAACGTCTCCTGATCCCAGCACTGCAAAATGAATTGAAACCCCCATTTGGCCAGGGTGGAATTGCTGTCCGTCACCCCCCCACCCCCCACCCCTTTCCCTGCTCCACACTTGCAGAGGAAGGGGTGCATTTTGTGCGACCTGTCTCTCGTTTCTCTTTCAACAAATCTCCCCCCACAGTCACCGCAACTTGAGGCTCACGCAATCGGGGACCGTAAACATCACCCCAGGTCACAGGCACCCCCACCCATGGCATGCAATAAGTCGCTCTGTCTTCAGTGAAGATCCCTTCCTGTTTCGACACTTTAACCCCAAACTGCCGACCCACTGACCCACCTTCTCAGCAGAATGGATCCTCACGGAAAGAGGCGAAGGAATAATACATTCTCTCCACCCCTTCCCTGCCCGCCCGCTCCTCAGTATATATCCGGACACTCCGGCCACTCCCTGTCCTGCTTGCGCTCCCAGTATCCCCCGTTGAACTCCCACACCGGCGGCCCACTGTGCCCCACGCCGCGTACCAGCTCCGCGCCGCTCCCCTCCCGCCTCCGGAACCACGCGGGCACGTGTCCGATCCCCGCCTCCTTCCTCGCCTTGCGCGCCGCTCTCTGCTTCTCCTCCAGCCGCAGCTTCTCCGATGTCGCCAGGTCGGGGTCCCCGTTCTCCAGCGCCCGCACGTCCGGCCGCAGCCGGGAGTCCGTGCGCGGCACCTCGCCGGGCGCCATCTCCCTCGGATCGTTGAGCGTGATCGCCAGGCCGGTCATGTAGTACTGCGCCCCGCCCTCATCTGGCGGGGCCGCCCTCCTGAACAGCTCGATGGCCTCGCGGATGTCCCCATCCCCGGCCCCCACCCGCTCGGCCATCACCGACCCCATGAAGCTTCCGTAGATACGGTACACCTTCTCCCCGCGCGCGTCGTGCACGAAGCCCTGCACCCTGCCGCGCTCGGCCAGGGATCCGCGACACCGCGGCAGGTGCAATCTGGCCGACTCGCCCGTCGCGCGGTTCTCCACGCACACGTCGCCGTGCACGTCCAGCCACAGCTTGCCCAGGATGATGTTGTTGATCGACACGGCGGCCTTGTCCCACACGAATTCGTCCCCGCTGCCGCACAGCCTCAGCTGCAGCCGCCCAGCGGACATCACCGCCACGCTCTTGCCCCAAAATTTGCTGCGGAGCTCCAGCTCGCCATGGAGCTCAAATCCCTCCTCACTGCCCCCGTTGGGGTCACCCCCTCGCGCCCAGAAACACGACACGGGGGGGTGGTGGCTGACCTGCTCGGCCAGGAACCGCACCCCCCCGCGGCTGTACTCGAACGTCTCTCCCAGCAGGGGGTTGAAGGGCTTGCTGTCGCGCAGCAGCATCGAGCTGTAGCTGGACAGGACGAAGGCGGAGACGTGCAGAAGGCGGTCCACGCCGGTGGCGCATGCCGCGGCGCGGTCCAGGATGGCGCTGTACTCCAGCTCCTCCGCGAGGCGCTGCAGGGCGGAGAGGGGCTCGTTGATGGTGGAGGGCATGGTGATGCGTGTGAGGTCCCAGCCGATGGCGTTCTTGAGGATGCTCCACAGGGAGAAGCCGCGGCGCAGGGGCCGGGGCGCCGGCAGGCAGGAGCGCGGGCCGGGCCAGCCACGTGGGGAGTCATCTGCCTGTGTGGGGATATTTTGACAAAGAGATTTCAGCCTAAGAGGGGGAGGCGACACAGGACAGAGCAGAGAGAATGGTTGGCAAGGTGTGTCTGTCGACTCTGCAATATGCGTTCATCCACAACAGATAAAAGCAGGTCCAAGCGAGTGCTTCCAAGGTGATCGCAGGGGCCGATGAACTGCGCTGTGGAGACGATCCAAGGGAAGAAATCCACACTTGCCCAAGTCCATCACATCATAACAGTCCATGCACAGGCCAGTTGGGAAAATTGCAGCCCAGAAGTCCTTGACAAGAACGAGCTGTGAATGGCAACCACAGTAGAGCTGCCAATGGAGAAAGGGGCTGGGTGTCAGGCCCTGCTGGCTGGAGCTAGGGCCAAAGAGGTGCACTGACAACACCTGTGAGAATGGCAGTGTGGGCAGCCTGGGCGCTTGACAGCATTTCCTACCGGGCTGCCAGCAATTTGATGTTGCATCAATACAGTCAACAGCCATGTGAATGGGGCCTGTTTGCCAATGCTGGGTGACAATGCAGGACGATCTTAGCCCCTTGATGCATTATTTCTGGCAACGTGAGCCAAATATGACAGTGCCAAGCAGTGTCAGGATAATCCGTTTGTGCACCAATCTTGTGCTCCACATTCATGTGTGAGAGCACACAGGTCTGCAGCAAAACGATGGCATGGGCACATCAAATTGCAGACCACCAACTCTCGTGTGCACAGCCCCCACCTCGGTGTCTTCTTCATTGTGCTCTTCCGGGCCGTCCATCTCTTCCTCCGTCGAGGGGGGCTCCCCAAGCTTGCCCACCACCAGCACTGCAGGCGGCGCCTTCATCGCATACTCCACCTCCCGCACCACCTCCAGCGCTTTGATCAGCTCGTCTGGCATGACTCCTCCCGGCGAGGGCGGGCCCCCGATGCCGCCCCCCCCCCCTTCAGACGCACAGCCGTCCGACCAGCACGACCCCGCCGTGGAGTAACACTCCGAGGAGCAGGCCAGCCCCCCCAGCCCAGCTCCGCTCCCGTCGCTGTCAGTTCCCCCCTCACAATCCCCATTCCCGGACCCCACCCCCACTGTCGACTCCGCCCCCTGCCCCCCGGCCTCGCGGGCCAGCCTCAGCCGCCTTTGCAGCGCCGCGTTCTCCACCTGCAGCTCCAGCACCCGCAGCAGCTCGTCGGCCACTATGCGCCGCACTTCGCCCATCAGTGCGTCCAGCCCTCCCAGAACATCCACCCCATCCCAGTCCCTCTCCTCAGACTCCGCCGAAGGCCGCCCGGCGATCCCCGCCTCCCCCTGGCCTTGGCCCTTCCTCCCGCCGAGGGTCCAAAAACCGGCCCGAGACCTCTCCTCACCCACGCCCTGGCCCAAGTTACCATTCTGGCCCCAATAAACAAGTCCATGCCCGTCTGCCCCGCTTTTCCCCCCCTCCTCTCTACCTCCACCCTCCCCCCCCGACCCCCTCCCCGTCACCGCCAGCCGCCGCCTGACCTCCGCCTCGACCGGCGAGAGCCGAGCCATCCTGCCCCTCAGCCGCGAATTCAGCTCCCGTTGGATCCTGGCCTGCTGGGGGTCAACATCGGCCGCCAGCTCCATCGAAAACGAACGCCTGTGGATGCCCGATCCCGGCAGCCCCGGCCCGGCGGCGGCCTCGGCCACCCTGCCCAACATGACGCCGAAGTCCTCCACGGATTTCCTCAAAGACGTCACCCACAGCTCCCTGTCCCCGCGCGCCATGGCGCGCAGGTAGACCATCCCCCCACCGCGCGTGACCACGCAGAACTGCCGCGCGTTGCCCTTGGCCATCACCACGTCGGCGCCCGCGAGCGTGATCGTCCTGCGCTGGCGGCCGATGGCATCCGGCGCCTTGGAGTAGGTCAGGGCGCCCGGCGTGTCCAGGCTGAAGAAGCGGCGGTTCCAGCGCTTGAAGTGGCCCATCCACATCCAAAGGTACCCACTGGGAGGCGAGCTGCCCAACTCTTCGCCCCCCCTCCCCCCGCGACGCGGGGAGATGTAACGCCGGGGGTCGTACTTCTTCCGTCGCCTGCCCAACGGCCTCTCCTGGTTCATCGCCCCCGCGGACGAACCCAAGGAGGAGTCCAGCGCGTCCGTACCAAGAGCATCCGCCTTGGCGGCCGCCTCGTCGTCGCTGCACGGCCCGAAGATTGCGCCGCCGCAGTCCTTGGCTCCTCGACCGGTCGGGGATCGGCGATCGGGGTCGTCGGCATCGCGGAAGGCGCGCAGGGGACCGGACGGCGACGGGGGCCGGGGATCCATCGCACGTCCCTCCCCCGGGTAGGGGGAAGGCCGCCGGCGGGCGCGGGGGAGCGTGTCGCCGGGGCGGCTGGGGCGGCCCCCGCCTCGACTGGGGAGCGGAGGCGCGCCAGGACGCCTTTGGTGCGGTCGATCGGGCCTGTGAATCACGTGGTCGCGTCAAACAAGTTGGAAGTTTTGTTTGCCATTTTTTCAAAATTTTCAGTTTTCTTTCTGTTCATTTTTCTAATTCTTCAATTTTCTTCCCATGCTGTTGGTTCACTGGCCGGTTCGGCCCTGTTGTCCATGGGATTCACTTGCAGGAAGCATGCGCTAGACATAGGTGGGTTTGCCCCTGGGGATGTTGTCTAGAGGTGGCAGTCTGGGGGCGAGCTGAGGCTAGGGAGTTGCTGACGGATCCCAAACCAGCATGTCCCTTTACTGTGAGGCCATCCTCGCGCCATGGTTATGTCGTCACTGTTTTGCTCGGTGAACTTCAATCCGATAACAATTATGGATAGTTCATTTGTGATGTGAATATGTGTTGGGCGATGTTCATTTTAACGGAGCATTGTTTCATTTTCGGGGCAATAATCGCTCGTGGTTCTTGTGGGCAACACTTATTCGGATGAATTCGCTGATACATGGGATATCTCGGGTTTGCCTCTACAAAGAAAAATGGTGTTTGAGAAAATGTTCTCGTCAAAGGTGATGGGAGGGCCAAGGAATAGTGCTTGTATAAAGAAAACCTACCTGCCTTGAAGCTTGGCAAAATAACCCAATGACGGTCGATCATCAAAGGAACTTGTTTTTTACAAGATCATATGATTGCCTTGAAATCTGTGTGTCAAAGATTGATTCCTAGAATTGCAGGAATGCGCCCTTGCAAGGGCATATCTTTGACCTAGAATCTGAGATAGAAAAAAGGGGATTAAGCAAGGGCATGTTTTTTCTTGGGGCCTAGTACATAGTATTTAAATGCCAGAGAGTACACAACAGATTTTTGCAAGAACATGAGCATTTGAATGATACCATCATTGTGCCGATCCAATATTCCACTGCTGTAATCGGACTTCAATTTGGTGGTGCGGCTTCGCTGATACCAGTTAGACCGCAACTTTGCTGACCACGCATTCAGAGACAACCACATAACAAAGACAACACAAATGAGGAGTTAAGGATGTATTGTTGTAACTAGAGCTGATTGAGTATTATTAACAACTGAAGGCATAAAGAGATTATGAGGCGCTAGGGATTGCATCAAGGACATTGATGAATTGGCTTGATACAAAGGGCAAAGCTCCTATTGTCGCCTTGCTTTGGCTGTAAACCATTGCCATGGACTTGAGCATGCGATTCCCATTCAGGGGTCACCACCCCTCAATCTTACATGCCTTCGTCAGTACCACTTCATCTTGGTGGGCATTTTGACATGGGCTACCCTCCAGCTACATCCAGCTCATTAAACAAAGATTGGTGAGCAGATACATTTGTGGCTAGTCCACACATGTCTGGGCAACCCATGGCGCCGATAGGCGTCACAGCTCGTCCTAGCACCAACTTTAGAATATGTACCATTACAAGTTATATTTATTTGTTTACTTACTTATCTATTTATTTATTTGTTTATTTATTACCAAAATTGGCCACACGCCAGCTGGATGAGATACTGTGGCAATTAAAATTGATTGAATATTATTAATAAATGAAGGCACGAAAAGATAATGAAGCATTAGGAATTGCATTAAGAACGTTGATGAATGGACTAAGTATAAAGGAAAAAATGTGTATTGTCCTTCAACCTCAATTGTAAACCGTGGCCGTGGACTCAAGCATACAATTCCCATTCTGGGATTGCCACCCCTCAATCCTACTTCCCTTTATCAATTAGCACCCGAGGCAAGGGGTGTGCGAGTTGAGACACGGACCAGGCCAACTTATTGCAACCTAGGGCGGATTGAGCAATAAGAGTACTCGAATTCTACTACTACGCTTTGGTCCTTTGTGGGTTGGGACACCAGTACTTTAGGCTTTCCGTAGAAATACCCCTGGTGGAGCAATCTGCCTTAGGCAGGGTTCTAACTCATGGCAAGGCGGACCGGTTTCGGCATTCGCCACAACGCCTCATCAACACCCTTGTACTAGAGTTCTCCCATGGGTATTTATACCTTATTTACCACATTTGGCTGCTCCCACTAGGCCTCGCGGCCTGGACCATAATATCTACGTTCGCCAGGCGACCTTTCCGAGAACTTTTCGGTATCAAAGATTCAAGACATCCACAAAGCGGTTGGATACGACAAGACTCCAACAGCCTAAAGTCCATTTTGCGCAGCCTTTCTGAAGTGTTTTGGTAGGAGCGCAAGCAGCAATCAGTTGTTGCTAGGCATGCGGGTTAGTTTTATGTCAACGTTTTCATCGTTGACCTGAATACGGAGTGAATCATACATTGTGGGTAGGTCCAAAGAGCAGTGCCACAATTTATCACTAGGGCGCCGTGGTAGAGTGACTGAGCCACCGCCCAAAGGATCAATTCGCTGACTAATTGAGCATCCTCCCAAGGGTTGACATGCAATGCAATACAATTCTTGTGGTGCCATGCTATGACTTGAAACATTACAATGTGTTGTGCTGCTATGGTGAAGGCAATTCGTTGTGGCAAAGGGATCACGTGCTTGCTACACAGCATGCATGTTTCCATAGCACTAATTGCATGAAAAGGTGTCAACAAAATGGCAGGTTGTGTCAGGTGATAGTGTGGTCCTATAGGGAGACACACCATACTGATACGGTGGAGCGTCACTATTGGTGTCGAGTGAGCAATGTGGCAGAGTGCGAGCGGGGCCCATATGGCAATGCTAGTGCATTCACATGCTTCACATTGAAGCAACATGATGTGCAGTGTTAAACCAAATACATGCCCTTGTACAGGAAGGGGAGGGGCCCCAGGGGTGTGGGTCAAGCATTTCCTATGAGTGACAAGGAGTAACGGTTGGGACACGTAAGCAACAAGGATTGCCAATATTGTTGTAGTTTTTGAACAAGAAGTAGAAACATAGTACAATAGTAGAGCAACACATTAGGAAGGTGATGACAATATATGGGATGAGTTTAAGGTTGCATTCGTTACAAGGTTCAGATAACTTGGGTATTTGGAACAGATTGAGTGCGCTTTGCATGACCCAAAACAAGTGGAGGATAAATCAATGGCCTTTTATACGGAGAGGTACAAATGCTTGCATGTTGAATAGGAAGCACTTGGGTTATGGGCTTGAAGAAAGAGTTTTGCTTGCATGTTTTAGAAGCGGATATCCCTGATTTTGATTGATGCATCACCCCACGATGCACCCGAGGGGGATGCCACCACGGGGCGCGTGCCCAGGACCACACGGGTCCGGGGCAGAGGTGGCTTGGCAGGATAGCCAAAATTACATTGTATTGTTCGTATCATTGACCATGCAGTGATAGAAACCAAGCGAGTAGAAAAGCCAATACTTCTTATGGAAGGAAGATTGCCAACAGCTGGCGAGCTCATGAGAAATCAAACCATGATATTAGACAAGACGGATATTGATGGGCTACAACGAAACATGAAGAAGTTGGCACAATCCATGATAAGCTCACTACCATGATGGTCACATCGATCGACTCAAAAGACTGAGCCGAGTCGAGTCATTTTTCTGGGAATTGGGGAGCAGCGAATCATGGTAAAGGTCGTGGAAGAGGTGGAGGACACATGACTTGGAGAGAGAATTAAATCGGTATTAGAACTGAATATAGCAACAATTGGCATCAAGACAATGGCCCAAACAATATAAGTGGAAGCCAGCCACTGACAGGGGCAAATGCAACGCCTTTTGAGATAGCTGCAAATGTCCGAGATGAGGATATTTGAGATCTTGATAACCCGTCTGAGTCAAATGGTGACTCTGGACTACTTCACAGCAATTAACTACGAGAAATGGAAGCAGACGCAAAAGACATCAGTGAGAACATCAAGTGGATGGACAATCTAGAGGCAACTGCTGTCCACAAGGCTGCGTTGGCTACTCATTTGGAACAGACTACATTGAGCATCGCCTTGGGTGATGTTTATGGAGGAGGATTTGAGAGCAATGTTGCAGCTGATGACTCCAAAAGTACCAGTGAGATGAATTCTGGGAGTATGGGGTTCCTGTGGGATGTTTGCAAGGCAAGTATTGTTGTACTGCTAGAGACAGCTGATGCAATTTACTGCAGGTCATTGGTTGTTGATTGTTTCCACATCACAGTGGATAATATCGAAACCTTGAATGTTGGTGGCGCAGCAACACCTGAGTTGTGATCTGTATTCGACGCCTTAGTGTGTCGCCATGAAGACCTGTTTGCTCATGAATTGAGCAAATTAGGTCGCACGAGCTTAGTTCAGTGTGACATCGAGCTGCAGCCACGAACCCTCCCAATATGCACAAGGAAGAGTCAACGCTGGCCGCCAAAAATCAAGGCCTTTGCGAGAACTTGTTGCGATGAGTTGTTAACAACCAAAATGGTAGAGGAATATTACGGTCCATGGGATGCAGGGGCGATTTTCCCCTAGAAGAAATCTGGCGCATACAGAATGTGCCACAACTATTGCAGGCTAAAAGCGGCAACCATTCCAATTCAGTGGCCAGTGCCCAATGCTGAAGCATGTTTAGACAGGCTTGTGAGAAGGAAATACTACTTAGTGTTTGATGGTTTCAGTGGCTATTATTGTAAGGGGCAAATCTGCCAGAGGCAGATTGCTCGGCAAATTTGGTCGGGCAGCAGCTCAGTTTTGAGCGTGGAGGCAAAGGCACAGTTCCGCAGCGAACTTGGATTACAATGTTCACCTTGGACGGCTTTAAATAGCCGCCCAAGGGCGGGGTTTAGGCAGCCCAACTGGCACATGCCAGATTGGCAACTTTGTAATGTTCAGATGTTCGAATTCAAACCCCTCCCGTGAACCCCGTTTTGTCCCGCGAGTCACCCTGACTAATCCCAGCGTCATTCTCGCCCAATCTTGGTGGCGCACCCCGTGGGTCTGTCCCACGCGCCTTGACCCCGAACGGCGCCCGGCTTGGTGTGCATCTCACACCCCGTTCCGTCTATATTAAATATCTATTATACAACCCGTGCCCGTTTGGCGCGGCTCAGAAACTAATGGTACAATGACTACCCATGCTATTATACAATGGTGTTCCCGTATTGTACAAGTCCCCAAACCGCTGCCCTCACAATTACGTGATGGAACTAACACCACGTGCTCATGATTATATGGCCTTTTGTTACGGCGTTTGTCAAGTTCCGCTACACAGTGATGCCATTCGGTATCACCAGTGCGCCCCTCGGTTATGCCCTATTCGATCAGGGAACTTTTGGTCCATTCATTGGGACTGAAGTGGAAGTGTTCTTTGACGATTGCGGGGTTGGCTCAGACAGTGTTGAGGATCATATGAGCAGGCTTGAGAAGTGTTTTCAATGCTAAAAAAAGCAGGGATGAGATTGAATCCAAAAAAATTGCAGTTTCCCGCAGAGTTCCATCATCTTCCTTAGCCATTTGGTCAGTGCAAAGGTTCTCGAACATCAGCCAGGAAAGATCGAAAAGATCAAGACATGGGAAAGGCCGCGCAACACTTTGAGTGTCCAGGGATTTTCTGGGTTTATGAACTACTACAAAAGGTTTATCAAGGGAGTTGCAAAACGCGCACATTCTTTGCATCTTTTGACACACAAAGGAGCTGGATTTGAATGGAGATCTGTGCAACAGAGCGCATTCGATGATCTATGCCAAGCACTAATAACATCTCCAGTGATGACTGTACCACGTACAAGGATTCTCTATTGCATACTGATGCATCAGATGCACGTTTGAGAGAGGAGCTCAGTAAGCTGGGATCAGACGGGTTACCACAACCCGTATACTATTTGAGCAAAGCGCTGACAAGAGCAGAGAAAAATCATGGCATGACTGGAAAAGAGCTGATGGCTGTGGTTGTGGCTTTCAAGAAGCTGATACATTACTTTATGAGGCGGCACACCGCTGTCTACACAGACCGCGCTCCCCTGAAAGGATTGTTGAAGCATCCCGAAACGGTGTCATCAAGGGTAACACAATGGTGTATGATTCTTGTGAAATACGACTTTGAGATCATGTACCGGCCTGGGAAACTGAACAAAAATGCTGATGCTCTCTCGAGATTGCCCATGATTCAGGAAGAGGAAGTTGTAATCGATGAATATTTGGATGTGATGATTGTGGTCCCTGGTAGTGACGAATGGTATGATGACATGCAGAAATACACCACAACTGGAGATTTTCGACCAGAAACACCAAAAAGGATCAGAGATTCATCAAGCGCCTGGCTGACCATTTTGCGGTTATGCATGGGAAGTTGTATCACAAGAATTCGTTGGGCGATCCACAACTTGTGGTACGTCAGGAGGACAAAAAGCATGTTCTCAGTGGCGTTCATGATGATCCGGGCCACTATGGTGCATGCATGACGTTGGCGCAACTGATGAGGACGTATTTGTGGCCTACTATGGAAGGGGACGTCAGTAGCAACGCGAAAGCCTATGAAGCCTGTCAGAAATACGGCCCAAATGTGACCCCAGCGGCATCAGAAACATGGTTGGTATGAGAGTCGTTTAAGTTTACTGCATGGGACTTTCTGGGCCCATTCACACCAGTGGGTGATTACAGGTATCTGCTGGTCGTTGTAAACTATGCAACACGGCGGTGTGAAGTAACACCACTGGCAGATGCGGATCGCCATCACGTGATGATGACACTGAGTGCAATTTGTGCCCGATTTGGCGTCCTCAGAATCTGCCTTTCTGACCGGGGGATGGCATTCAAAGAGCAACATCTTCAGCAGATGGCACGTGACCTTGGGATAGCATGGGTTTATTCGCCAGCCTACTCAACTAAAACCAACGACTGGTTGAGCGCACAAACCGTGAGTTGTTGGATCTCTTGAGGAGGCTAACTGATGGACAGACCGAATTGTGGGTACGTGAGTTGGGACGCGCAGTTCTGGCTGTTAACTCTCGGATTGTTGAGCCAATGAAGTGTTCTCCTTTCCAAGCTCTGATGGGATATGCACCAAAGCGAACACATGAGGTGGCAGCACCAGTACACAGGGTATAATCGTTAGCGGAAGGCTGGAGAAAGACGGAGTCTAAAGAATTGCGGCAGAGAAATGACGAACTACAGTTGTGCCATGATGGGATTGATGCAAATCGAGCATTTGTGATGAAGGGAAAAGAAGAAACCACCAAAACGGTGTGCAAGGTTCAGTTCAAACCAGGCCAAAAAGTATGGTTGCGCAATACGGTGAGGTTCAAGCAGCATGACCGGGAATTGGACGCTCACTGGCTTGGACCGTATCGCATTTTGCGTCGCCTCTCTGATCAGAGGTACGAGATTGACCGGAAAGCATGAGGTGCTGATTCAGAAGAAGTCCAAGCTGATCGTCTCAAGGAGTTCACCGAACAGAAAATACAAAATGGCAGCGATGGCAAGACCGCCTTGATCTGTGTGAACAAAGAGTATGCAAGTATTCTACATCGGTTTGATCATTGAAGTCAAGGGCTATGACAAGGGCTGAGCGGTATTTGATTATTGTAACATTATGGATTAGAGAATACGCTGAGATATCAAGATTGAAGTCAACTGAGATGATGGTGTTTCAGAATGCACATGAAAGATCGCGACGAGGGCGTTCGCGAATGAGAGCAATGGGGCTGCATGTTGCAGCTAGAACTGATTGAGTATTATTAACAACTGAATGCATGAAAAAATGATGAAGCACTGAGAATTGCTCTAAGGAAGTTGACGAACGGACTGAGTACAAAGGACAGAACGCCTGTTGTCCTTTTGCCTCGGCTGTAAACCGTTGCCGTGGACTCGAGAGTACAATTCCCGTTCAGGGACCGCCACCCCTCGATCCTGCCTGCCTTCGTCAACACCACCTGCATAAAGAACAGTACCACCATCCACTCGAGGCCAGCAAACCGCGGGCCACCTGGATCCTCGCTGTTGCCCAGTCGTCGCCCACAAGGACCACGTGCGTGGCCTCGGTGGGGCGCTGCTTGAGCACCTCGCGCCCTCCGCAGCCCCTTGGCGTCCTCCCGTCCCGCACCAACCCCCCGCCCCTACAGCCCCCGCCGGTTTTATTCTCTCGCTGCCCTCGCCCATCCGTTTGACACCCCGAACTCGGGCAAGTTCCCCCGCCAAAGCGGGAGCCGCGATCCCGATTCGCCCTCCGGGGGCCTGTCAAGAATTCGGTGAGCAGATGAGCGGCCTCGATTGTGGGGCGAGCGATCCGTTCGTCGTGGTCATGGCGCCCGGTGTGCGCGGGAGGCCTCTGGCGTTGGCGTTGCCAAAAAAGCGAGAGAGCGAATTGATCATCCGCTCCCCTCGAATTTGGGCCGACCCCCTCGGCGGGGCCCAGGCCTCTCGGCGCCGCTGGACGCCGATCGCGATCAGGCGGCGCCGCGAGCTGACGGAAGGAGTGCGATTTTGGCCAGCAGGCGCGATGAGGGCCATCGCGATGGTGGTGCGGCGGGGAGGCGGGGGGCTGGGGCTGCTGCAAGGGGAGGGGCCGGCCGCGCTGCTTCTCGGGCCCGCGGGCCTGCGGCCGCTGGGCGGAGAGGCATGGGACGGCCAGCAGGTGAGTGGTTCCCCCCCGCCTCTTTCTTGAAGCCACCCACCCCCCTACCCACGCACCCACTCACACTCCCATGGCTTTCGATTTCATTTGACGTCGATGGCTCTACGGCGCTGCAAGGCGGCAAAGTGGCAAAGGCAGCAACACGTTGTGGCCTTCACGGGCTTGCCTCTTCGACTAGCGGGTCTTCTTGGGGCTTTAAAGCGCGTCCTGGTACCCGCGCACTCTCGCACGGTGACGAATGGTTCCGCTCGCGCGATCGTTTCTCGGCGCGATGAACCTGCGGAGCGGGTTTTGGCCGACTGCCGCGCTTTGCTGCGGACTCCAAGGCGTCCCGGCCGCGGCGGCTTGGCGCAGCTGTGGCCTGAATTGCGTAACTACCTTTGCCAAAAGCTGGCGAACCGCAGCCCATTGCGAGGTGGTATCGGGATTCGCATGGCGGTGGTTTTCAAGCTTGAAGGAACATGCAATGTGCAGGAGCAGGACAGCACACAGTGTTGCTTGAGAAAAATCGAGGCAACGGCTTTGCAGCACTCAGGATGAAGTTTGCATGTCTCTGTGGTGGCTGGTGTGCTGGTAGTGGAAGTGGGAATGGGAGCAAGATGTGGGCATGCAATCCAGCCAAGATGGTGTGCTGGTTGTGTTCTTGCCACAGACACTGACATCAGCATATCCACTCTCACTGCCAGACAATCCAGTACCAGATACTTACAACTGGAAATCTGCACCACGGACTCAAGGCAGCATTATGCCTGACACCTCCCAGAAGACGGGAGAGAATCCCGCAACAGTGTATGAAGCAGTATGCTTGGATGCTCTGGGAAACTTCCAGTGAACTTGTCATAAGAAAGGTACTGTGGTCAGCTTAGTTCACAGACGCGCCATTTTTTTCTCTTTCACTCTGTGCTCCAAGCTTGAGAAGCCTCCCTTGGCAGCCATGAAGCCACCTTCCTCTCTGCATCCCCCCTGGCCTGCACGTTTTCTTGCCATCCTCCAGGCCTGCCTCAAGGGGTTTCTTCGACGACCATGACCCGACCAAACCCCCTCCCGACGTCGACCTAGCGCAGGTCACTGCTGCTATCAATGCTATAATTTGGGTTTCGACACAGCTGGGACACCAGTCGGGACGCTCCATAAATCAGGTCGTCTTCGTCTCTGAGCGTGTGTGGGCACAGCTCTGGGAAGGCTTCACACACAACTCACAAGCGCCATCAATGCAGTGACACTACGTCACACATCCCTCCCTTCCTCCCCCCTTTTCCTGAGTGCAAGTTTTCTTGCCTGTTTGTGTTGTGTACTCATCATCCCGCACCGGAGACTCCGCATCATCCTCCCACACCGTGGAAAAGAATCTCCTGTGCACTTGCTTAGGAGGGGGTGCCCTTTGTGTGACCTAGTTCATTCTCTTTGCAACAAATCTTACCCCGACCCCAGCCGAATCCATCTACACCGTGGCAAAGAGTCTCCCATACAGTTGCTTAGGAGGGGGTGCCCTTTGTGTGACCTGTTTTTTACTCTTTGCAACAAATCTTACCCCGACCCCATCTGAATCTATGTACACCATGGCAAAGAGTCTCCCATACCATTGCTTAGCAGGTGGTGCCCTTTGTATAACCTGTTTCTCTTTCACTTTGTAACAATTCTTGCCCTAACTTCACAACCCCCAGCACGCCGCCCACTCCTCCTGGCCCAGCAAAGCGCAGGCCACCCGGCTAGCCCTTGCAAAAGTACGCACAGCCATCATCGCCTGCAAAAACGCACCAATCCCCCACTCTAGCACAAGCCGTTCCACACAAGGGCCTTGGCACCCACCTCCCCAAACCCATATGGCTTCCCAAAAACCCCTGCTCGATCCCCTGTCTCTTGCAGCTGTGGCACGAACTCTGGTCAAACTGTATCAAGGGAGCCCCAGTTTTGCGGAAAGAGAAGAAATCTAAGGGCGTCCATCTCCCTGCACCCATGCACCTGCTCTTACCCTTAGAGAGCACCTCATCATGTTAGCAAGGGGAATGTGGTCCATTTTGAACCTTCTGCCCCAGTTCTCCTAGTCACGCAGGCTAGCAGGACGGAATAGCAGGCTGAAGTCTCGGTTGTTTGGAATTCCGTTCTTTGTGAATGGCTGACCAAACAGCCGACTTGGGCCGAAATCTAGATCCCTGGGCACTGCCCATCAGATTTAGTTTTTAGGAGGTGTGTGGGTTTGGGGCTATTATACAGTGGTTGTCTCAAGCGGCTGAGAAAACTTGGGACAAACACTCTGGACCTACCACTGATGCGGGCATGACTTGTAAAGCCGAAACCTGTGCATAGAAGGATCCCAGTTTAATGGACAACTCTCTCACGTCACTCTTCGCTCCCCCGAGCCCTGAGACCCCTCGCGCGTGCCCCCCGTTCCCCCAGGCCCCCGCATCCGTTCCCGACTTCAGTGGCGCCGACGCGTACCGCGGCCGGGGCACAACCGAGCTGCTGCGCGGCCTGGCCGTCTTCCGCGCCTGCTCCCTGCGGGCCTTCGTGGAGAGGGCCGAAGAAATGTACTCCGGGGCGAGGCGCCTACTGGGGCCGCGGCTGGCGGACGAGGCGGTGCGCCGCACGTTCTTCAGGCACTTCTGCGCCGGTGCGTGGTCCTTCGACCAGGTTTGACCAACTTTGACCGCTTTCAGCGCCGGTGGATCCCTTTTTGGATGCCTTTTAACCTTTTTTGATGGGGCAGCTTTGACCGCGTTTTTTTGTCTTGCTTTCGACTTTTCCTTTTTCAACTTGTCTTGAAACACCGCCTTCGCGCTCTCATACTCGTCCTGGGCAATCCGTCTCCCCACCCCCCAATGTCAATCAATCAACGCATCATCCAGATGGTCAGTCAGCCAGTCAATCGGTTACCACTTCTAGTAAATACCTCCTCTTGTACTGCCACAACTACTTGTACTTGTCCTATTTCTACTTGTAAATGTACTGCACCCACTTGCACTACTATGCTACTTCTATTCGCTTGGATACACGCGTTGACGTGTGAGACGAAACCGGTCGCCCCCACAGGTGAGTCGTCCGCACAGTTGGCTTCGACTCTGGATTGGCTACGCGAGCACGGCGTGGGTGGCATCGTGAACTACCACACGGAGGGCGGCCTCGATGGCGGCGGTGAGGTCGCCGACCACCAAAGTGCGGAGGAGAGGCGGCGGGCCGTGCTGGAGCACAACCTGGGGGTGAGGCACACCTTGGCAGGAAGCACTGGAGAAAAGCGGCACCATGGGCAGTGAGAACTTGGCACTTGTTTGTTGATAGCAGTCTTGCAGTCGTCTTTTTTGTTGATAGTTTTCGCACGCAAAGAGAAACATGATTTTGTCCCATTCTGACACTGTTTAAGGAGGATATTGAAGGAAGGGGCGTTTGTAGCCTGAGTGATGTGCGCCACACCCTGTGCAGCAATGTGCATATGAGTTCGGGATTGAAAATACATGCGCCTGGAATAAAAAGCCCAGTATCTGTCCAGTTACGAAAGCGGTGCAAACAGCTTCGTGTGTTGGGCAGCTGACGGCCATGCATTGCATTACACTGCAGCAGCCTTCGCCGCAGAAGTATAAAAGCAAGATACAGTGTTGAGAATTGAATGTAAAATGCACTAACATTGGATTACGAGTGTGCGAACACAAAGATGTACAAAAGCGAGTATGAAAGTACGTGAATGGGAAATGGCCGTGAGCATTCGACGTCCCAATTAAGGGCACGTTGGGTGTTTGGGGTTTGTGTGGCGCAGCTCATCCTGGAGTCTATCGAGATGAGTGCCCGCGCGGGCGGCCACAAGTTCATCGCCATAAAGCTGACCTCCATGGCGCAGCCGTCGCTGCTGGAGAAACTGTCGGAGGCACTGAAGGCGGCTAAGGGAGCAGGTGGGCCGGCAGGAGGTGATAGCAAGGCGTGACAGCCGTTCACAGAAGTGCAGTGTCACAGAGGGCTACAAATTGTAGTATCTGACTATAATTTTACTTTGCTTATTGATGCTTACCTAGCATGTCTTGGATATACTTACTTTACTTGATACCTAACGCTTCTTTGCTTATTCATAATCTATGAAGCGGTTTACTTCTTAGGCACAGTACTTTGAGTACTGAGCCTTGTGCAATTTTGTCCAAGATTATTGATTGTCTGCGACGGTGCCCGTGATGGCTCAGTTGCCCTGACAGCATTGCAGACGCCGCGTAACACCCTTGGAAAACGTTTACAATGATTTGCACACGAGTATGCCACTGTGCTGACAATGTTGATTGTGATGTTTCTATTTCCATTGTTCACTACATTCACGCAGTAGTGTGCATGTGAGTGTGCGGATGCGGTACGCAATTGCTCAGCGTGCTGTGTTTAGAACCCTCTTTCACCCACAGCGTACGATAAGAGGGCCAAGGGTGGTGCATCGGACGCTTTAAGTGCAAACAGGCGTTATGCGCAGTGCGAGGATAACTTCTTCTTGACCCTGGGCATTTACTCCGGAAAATGATGTGACCCTCTTGGCATCGCCTCGATGTGCGCTTGTGAGGTCGTTCCGAAACCACCCTGAACCCTGCGCCAGGTACGGTTGACCGTTCGTGCTGAAACTGTTGACCACCAACAAGGGCACCACAACAGCCAAGAACCGCATGCAATGAAAACAGTACAACATGGAGTGATGTGACTATTGATGGTGCAAGAAGGAAGAATATTGGGTCAGTTTGAGTGGCGTGTGCACTAGCAACAATTCGCTGCACTATTGCGCTTCTGCAGCATTGTAGTTGTCACACCGATTGCACGATTGTCGACAATTTTGCTCAATTTTGAGGCGGAAATTAAGATGCGCGAATCCCAATACTGCGACAACAATTAATTGTTGATTGATCAATTGCTAATTGGTTAATTGTCAATGGATTAATTGTTGGGTATTCAGTTGTCAATGGAGTGGCTGATAGTTGCTTAGTTGTTAATTTTTAATTGTTAATTATTTAATTGCTATTTAGTTATTTGTTAATTAGGGGGACAATGAATTGTTCTCCACTGTGTGTCTTGGCACCTGTGGTAAGCTAGCGGCTCGTTTCCCGTGCAGGTGGCCTGCAGGGCGGTGACGTCGATCCCCACCAGCTGCTGACGTGTCACATGAACGCGGTGCGAAGCGGCAGGCGCGGCATGGATGCCCTAGAGAGCTGGGCGGACGCTCCGACGGTGAGGGAAGCCGACCGGCTGCTGACGTCAGCGGGGAGAGTGGCGGAGGCTGCCGCGGTGCAGGGCGTGCGGGTGCTGGTGGACGCGGAGCAGACGTACCTGCAGCCGGTGCGGATTTGTGTCGGAGCCTTTTTTATTTGCTGTCTATGTTTTGGTTGGGCAAGATTCTTGTGGGCAAGATTTTGTTGACGAGAATGTGAAAATGATCGTGAAGAATAATGTGAACACGTGTGGGTGAGCGCGAAAACGAGTGAAAATGAATGTGAAAAGGAGTTTACACACGCGCGCAAATGAGCGTGAAGAGTGAGCTGATGCGGCGAATTTCTCGGATTGCGTTTGCTGAGACGGACGCAATGGACGGGGGCCTTGCGCCTTGCAGGTGATGGCGATCGCAAAATGCGCGTGTCTGTCACTGATAGAAAACGGCATGTTTGCGATGCCAACTGCGATGCCGTTTTGGCACAAAATGATGCCATCACAGTGATTGCGATGGCATAAAAAGTGGCTGCGATGGCATCAATTTGTGTCAAAATGGCATCGCAAGCATGCTGTTTTCTACTAGTGTGTGCTGACGCCTGCGCCGGCAGCAAGAAATGTGTGGTGTGGAGGCCAGTACGTTGAGTGGCGAATCAAGCCGCATCAAATCCGAATACACATACACATGTATGTCAACCAGTACATATACATGTGCATGTACCTATGCGTATACACGTACATGTCGAAAAGGAGAGTAAACTGCATTGAAGATAATAATTTTTGACAGCTGTTGTCAATTATAAGCATGTCAACTTCGCCGGTTTCGTATTTGCTTTCCCGGGCCAGATTGATTCTATTCTTGAAAGTCATAGAGCTCACCCCGCGTGCAGATGCATATACAAACAGACGAGCACGTAAGAATGACGGAGTAAATTTCACGACAAATTAAATTAAATTTCATTTGTTTAGATTAAAATGCATAGTAAATTTCATGACATGACATTTTTATGGTGAATTCGCGTAATCTCAACACCTGCTCTTGTTGCTGCCGCCATGCATGAGTGATGGAGTAATTCGTGCAAAATTGGCATTCTTCATAGCCGTAGCCCCTTTTCTTGTTGCTTTCCCCTATCGAATCACTCCCTTTTCAAAGCACTGGTACTCGCCCGTGCCCCGCAGGCGGTGGATTACGTGACGGCCCAGCTGCAGCGCGCCCACAACGGCACCTACGCCGTCCTGCTCAACACCTACCAGGCCTACCTCAAGGACTCGGCCGCCCGCCTAGAGGCCGACCTGCTCCGCTGCCGGTCCGGCGGCTACACCTTTGGTGGCAAACTGGTGAGGGGCGCGTACATGGTGGAGGAGAGGCGGCGCGCGGAGGAGCGGGCAGTGCCCAGCCCTGTGCACGACACCAAGCGGGATACCGACGGCAACTACAACAGGTGAGCTGGAATTTCAAACGCGAAGTATCCATTCTAGAATAGGTTGAGTAAATCTAATCTGAAACGCGATGTTTCTATTCTACTCTGACACCTGATGTAAATATTCTGCTCTGAAACGCAATGTCAGTGTTCTGCTCTGGAACGGGTTGTAACTAGTCCACCACAATATGTTCAACCCTTCCGCATAGCAACGCAACGCTTGGCCTTTTTTGCGGAGAAAACAACAACACAGACAATGCTCTTTTCATTGGATTTTCCGGAGCGAAGTAAAAAGTAGAAATAACGCTGTGAAAAAGGATGCGGAGCACAAAGCACGGCGGCAAAATTGTTTGGTGCGGAAGGGCTGACTATACTACGGTATTCTACTCTGAAACACGATGTATCTATTGTACTCTGAAGCGCGATGTATCTATTGTACTCTGAAACGCGATGTAAGTATTCCACTCTGAAACGAGATCCAACGATTCTGCTCTGAAACGTGATGTAAATATTCTACTCTGAAACCTGATGTAAATATGTGATGGCTAAATTTTGGATTTGAAGAAAATTCGACAGGTGTCTGCTTGCGCGCTTCTTTAAAGGATTCGTTGTCTGTGTGTTGCCGATTGTTCTTGGGAGCGTTCAGCGTACCTGTGTTTGAATGTTGGTGTTTGAATGGAAATGAGCGGGTGGGTGATTGGTCGCCTGGACTCTTATGTGCGATGCTGAGGTCTGGAAAAGCGGAACAAGTGTTCTGCATTCTTATCGTTGGTGCTTGTTTACTTCAATTCAATTCGAGAAATGGAATTGTCACATATCTCTGCGTGCTATTGGCGCATGCTTGGCGCGTTTGCGTCGTCAGCACATGGCGGGGAATTGATGACTTGAATGTTGTCCGCAACGGATTAGTTGCGCCAATGTCTGTCCATGTTGAATGTTCCATGTCTAATAATGTTTGGCATCAGGAGCTAATAGATGCTCAGGCTTTGTTTGTGTTAAACATTAGACTTCAATGAGCTGATCATAGACACTGCTTTGCTCGAGTAAAGTAGGAAACTGACGGACACTTCATTGCCTTGTTCTGCGAAAGTGAATGATGTTGGTGGTGGTGATAACAATGATGCAATGTCTGTCCCATTTCACACAGCTACTAGCCGTGCCAGTTTGCTGCAAATCGCGCAATTGGCGATTAAACCGTGCTAAAATGCGGGACCGAAAACCGTGCGTTTCTCAACCCTGTTTCTGGTGCCACATTTACCATTGCAAGGGACTCCTAAACGTGATGCAATATTTGGGGCAAAAGAGAAGTGCACTTTGCGCGTGTGGCCAGGTGCGCGAGGCGCCTTCTGCGGGAAATCGGTGAAGGGCGCCGCGCGGAGGTTGTGCTGGCGACGCACAACCACGACTCGGTCAACGGCGCCGTTGACCTGATGAGGTCCATGGGCATGGCGCCGCAGGCCACTCCGGTGTACTTTGCGCAGCTGATGGGCATGAGCGACTACCTGACCTTCTCGCTGGGCCACAGCGGATACAAGGTGCACTTCCTTTCTTTATTTGCTAATTAGTTTATATGTCATTTATTTATTCTTTTTTGGGTGGGAGGGGGCCGTAATACACAGTGCGCTGAGGGTGCTGTGCATGGCGTGTGTACCGCGCGTGCGTGATACACTTATCGGCTTCCGTGCATTTGTACCGCATGAATGGGGAGGAATGCTTGCCAACTTTGGGGCTTACGCTTGCCTCACATAGTGTGTGAAGCGATGTACTGAAGCATGCCGCAATGTGCGGGCATGAAGTGCGAAGAATACCAAGAAAGTATCAGTGCTTAAGGCTGGGCGTTGAGCTCGCCATCGCTGGCGGCATCCCTCAGCATGCCCTCGCACGCGACAACATCTGCTGCTTTCACCTTTTCCTACAGTCCAGATGCCACGCTCTGAGCCGGATCCTTCCACCGCGTTTTCAACTTCCACCGCGCATCTTGCTTTTGGAAAAAATAATAGAAAATAACAAGGAACTTCAATCTTTCTATTCAATCTCTTTCCTTACAGTTTTTCATCTTCTTCCTTTTTTCTTCTTTCCTCACGTGTTTCCCTCGTTTCCTCTTTCCTCATTTTCTCCGTCTTCCTCCCTTTTCTTTCTATTGTGATTTTTTCATCTTTTCTTACTTCCTTTTCCTACCTTTTTTTCTATTTCCTTTTTCTAACTTTTTGCCTATTTTCTTTTTCCTTTGCTTCGCTCTCCGACCATCTGACCCCCGCGCGGCCCGGCCGCTGCCCACAGGTCCTGAAGTGCCTCCCCTACGGCCCCGTGCACGAGCTGATGCCCTTCCTGGTCCGGCGGGCCCAGGAGAACGCTGACGTCATGGGCGGCGTGGCCAAGGACGTGGAGATGACGTGGGCCGAGATTCGGCGCCGCGTGCCGGCCCTGCTGCCCCACGCACCGGGGCACGGATGGGACAGGGTGCAAAAGGCTTGACTTGGTCAAAGAAGGCGTTGACTTGGTCAAATGGGTCAATGGACCGAGCCCTGCGCCGGTGCGGCGCGAGGCGAACTCCGAAACGAGGAAAAGAAGCAAAAAGAGTGTTGTGTTGAGTGTTTTTAAAGAAGAAAATGCTCAACTGGTGGGTGAAGGCAGTGAAAGAATGCGGGGGAGATGTGCCCCAACGTGTGCTTTTGAACTAATGGACGGGTGGCCCACGAACCTAAGAGGGTGTCTGCAGGAGACCGGGGATTCTTGAGTTATTTAGGTTGGGTGGATTGGCAGAGTGCGTGTATTGTTAACGTGGGGAGGTGCTCCCCACCCTGAGCTGAGGGCCCAGCGCCCGGCTGTGTATTTGATGCGCTTGATGAGTTTGCTGTACTTTAGGGGTCGCGTGGGTGTGACGAGGAGCGACGTTCGAAACCTTTCAACTCCTTTGTAATGTACCATATGGACTGCACGGGATCTGAAGCCGACACATGGCAAGAGTACAGCTAAGTGCTGCTGGTACTATTAGTACTTGAAATGGCAAAAGTTCTCTGAAGTTGTTTTTTGGGTGAAGTTTCTGGATCGCTTAACGATGTGCAGAAACATTAGCCAAGAGGTAATCTTCTGGCAAAAGTTTGCCCATTTCATACAGTTCTAACTGTGTTCGCGTTGTGCTAACATAGAACAAAGTCGCGGGCTTAGTGTTGAAGCCGTGATGAAACGGGGCCAAGTCGTATTATATCGGCCTTGTTTTGGTTACAGTTTCACCAACACCGCTGAATGCGCCCCTGTGGGTCCAGAATGAGCCAAGCCATGGCGTGATTCCATTGCAATGATATAATTTCACAACAATGTATTTGTACAATAATGTATTTATACAATTTTACAACAATGTACAATAATGTACAATAAAATTGATACAGAGATGTTACTGGGTTGTTATCGTGTCCGACAAGCTTTCATGATGGCTAACAAAAGAAGCAATGAAAAGAGAATGCAATGTATTTCAAAGAACCGCAGAATGAAGCTGGATATGGCAATTGCGCGTTGGACTTTCACAGGTTGACACTGGAATGCCCTCGAGCCAGAATGAGACAATTGATGTACTTCAAGCATGTACATCGAGTGTCTCATTCTCATGCGTCACATTTGTCACACATACTCTCATGCGTCATATATGACGCACGCATGCTTCCCGTCGGTAAACTGCAGCGTCCTCACCCTCATTTGAGAATGTGGCCATCCTCCCGAAATTGCGGTACTGCCGTCCCACCTGCTGGGGATCTAAAAGAATGGGTTCCTTGAGGCCTCTCAGAGAAGGGGGTGCTGGGCAGCGGGTGCGTTTGATCCCAGAGTACTCCCAATGGTTAGAGTTGGAAGGCTATCAATCCCAGCATCCATCCAACCAATTGTCGCCAGATTGGTTCACGGCAATGGCACCCGCGATTGCTCAGGTAGGTTTGCTGATCGAACGTTAGGGAGCTGATCAGCCCGCACCCCGCGTCAGAGGCTGCCAGGCCGGCCTTTGTAAGTTCGAGGGCTGTGCAACATATGTGCTTCACATTAGGGCAATTTTGATCGCAAGATTCTGTTCTTCAAACTTTTCTTGCCTATTTTTTTTGGAAGTAGGTGATTTTGCTTTCTGCAATTTGGTGTGATTTTGATGCGAGGTTGGCATATGGTGACACCACTATGACACGATCATGCGGTTGTCTTGGCAAAAGGTATTCATTTCTTTCTTCGTGCAACATTCTGCCCTCCTGGCAGTGACGGTGTGCTTGCAGACGCACACGGCGCAAAGTGCGCCGCATTCCTGCACCACAAACATGGCCCGAAGTCCAACACACCAAGCCCAACGGCATTGACCACCAAGTACCACAACTCCGACCCCCCGAAACACACATTCCTAACTAATCAACACATTCCTAACTAGGAATTCTGCCAAAAAAGCAACAAACTAGCAGGCGCACCATTTCTCCGTCCTTCCCATCCCCCCCTCGCCTGCCCTAATTAGGAATGCATTCAGAAAACCAACAAAACGTCAGGCACACCAGCTTCCCGTCCTCCCCAACCCCACGACTTGTCTGCCCTAATTAGGATTGCTTCTTAGGAAAACCGACAAAACTGGGAACACGCCATCGCCCCGTCCTTCCCACCCCGCGCGTTGCCTGCCCAAGCGCGCAGCCCCACCGCTGCCAAGCGGCTCCCAACACCCCCTTGGAAAGCGGCGCCGCCGGCCCGAAGATCCCATCGGACCATCGGCGCCGGGCCGCGCATCCATGCCGCCGAAGAGGCCGACCAGGGTCGGCGGGGCGGCTAGGGAGGACGGGGAGAAGCAGATCAACCTGGGGGACACGTCCAGCGCCAAGCACACGCTGGACGAGGCTGCCACGGAGGTGAGCATGCGGGTCAGCCATAGGGGAAGGGGGGGGGGAGACGAACAAATGAGAATCCGTACGGGCAATGTTGAAAATCGACACGCTGATCATGTCACGTGCATCTACTGAACTCAGATAGTCTAAACAGCGTCCCTCTGCTAGCGGTCTGCAATGACCGCATAATAAATGGCAGAAAACCCAACCCCACGGCGTCAAGGACGCGGGGGCGGGGGGAGGGAGGCATATCAATATTGTCGCTGGAGGGCCAAGCCCAACCCAAAGTCGGTTACACACGCGCCAACAGTATCGACGATTGCAATCACATGTCGATTTCATTGCTGTCATGATGATAGTGTTCCATTGTAAGACAGCCCTCACAGTGTCAGGGTGTATCAAGATGCGCCAAGAGGTGCATTCTCAGGGAAAGATTGAATCCTTTCCTGGGGGCCGGGTGGGGGGTGTCTGCCTAGTTGTGTTGTGTGGCATCTATTGGGAGCATTCGGGCGGTCTTGAATCTTTTTGACGGCGGGCAGGGGATGTGCGTGCGTTCCTGACGGGGGAAAGCCCACACTTGGCATAGTTTCCGGTTTCCATGAGCGTCGGAGCATCAGGCAGTCGTTGATAGTTGAGGGGTGGGGGTAAGATTCGTGAACTACATGCAATCAAGGCCGCGTCCCTCCTTTGAGGGTAGGAGACCAGGCGATAAAGGGAGACTTGGGGGCGATGGGTGGGGAAACGGGTTTCGTGAATGGGAATAAGGCTGCACTTGGTGCTTGGAGGCTGGGTATATGCACCTGTGCAGCCACTCTGGTGTGCACTGCACACAACCACGATCGCTATGTGGATCATCTTTTGTTTCAAGGAATGCGTCGACCCTCCTGCACCCTGTAGTGCCATGCAGCTGTCAGCAAGATGTGTTGGTGTGTGTGTGCATTTGCCACAGGAGATCTTGCTGCAAGGGTACAAAGAGGACCACTTTGTGAGCAACGTGAAGATCGTCCTGGGCGCGATATCGTGAGTGTCCTGCCTTGGGCTCCGTTGCCACTGTGTGCGCCGACTAGTAACGTGCCACTGCAGTTCTTGCTCGGGCTCTTGGATCAACAGGAACAGATTGTTCATTGTTATTTGGAATTGGGGATTTGCCATAGTTGTTGTCATTTGTGTGTTTGGGAATATTGCATCAGATCTGGGAGTCGAGGTGTTGCACCCGCCTAACAAAAGAGGTGTGGGCCCTGTGCCGCCTCACAAGGAAGTGCAAGGCGGTGCAATGCCCTTGGGAGAGAGCCTAAGAGATCGATCGCTTGAAAATGAGTGCACAATGCCAAAGAAGAGCAGTTTGGCACTCCAGTGAGGGGTCGGTGGGTGGGTGGGTGAGCTAGCGTGGGAGGGGTGGCTATGTGGTGGCAAGGGATCGTCGTCGTCATCGTCATTGTTGTTGTTCACCACAATGAATCCCACAACTGATGGCCTTGTCACGTGGGCAAGTCATGAAGGGGGAAGGTGGGGCAGCTGGTCAGAAATCATTTGACATTGCAGTGGATCATCGCTTCAACAGACCAAACTTGAGGGCTGCTGTTGTTGTTCATCAGCTCACAAGGAGTATCGGCAGAACAACTCCAGTATGAAACTCATGTTGTCAAGGGACCAGTGTTGTCCACATCATTGGCGGGTGGCTGTGCAGAGAGGGCGATCGTGCACTGTCCGTGTGCGTCTGTGTGTTTGTGAGTGTGTGTGTGTGTGTGTGTGAGACTGTGGTTGGGGACTGGTTGGATTGGATTGAAGACTGCATTTTCGACAGAAAGGATCTTGCCACGCAGTGGGCAAGAGGGGTGCATGCAAAGTCAGGAGGATTTTGTGGGGGATGAGGGGTCTGCATGCTTGGACTGGCGTACAAGCTGAAAAGCCAATTGTGGCAGTGTGGCAGTGTCCACAGTGTCCTGAGGGCTGTTCCAGTGCACCGCAGAGAGATCTGCAGTTGCCCTATGCAAGACCCACCTCATTGACACCAAACCCCTCAGAAAGCGATTACACCTGTCAGTCAACTGTGACAGCAGGAGGGTGGCCAACCTGCCCAACCATACCCCAGGTGCCAGCGAATGGTCCTAGGAGCAAATGAAGTGTGGAACGGAGCACTGGCCAGCGCTGTGTGGACAACAGATGCTGCTGTTGCACCTGGATGTCAAACATGGGGATTGTTTCTGGTCACACCCAGCTGCCTCGACCATATCACTCCTCCCCCCTGCCACCGCCACCTCTTTTGGCTGAAGTGCGTGTGTCTTTGAAACAGGATCGCCCTGGCCCTGGTCTCCCAATTCTGGCCTGGCAAGTTTCATGAAAACTGGTGGCTTGTGCTGGGGTGTGTGGTGGGCTACACACTTGTGACCATCATTCTCACTGTCTTCTGCTCTGTCAAGGAGGGCAATGCATTCCTCTTCACCAAGAAGAAGAAGAAGGTAAGGCTGACAGCCACTTCAATGCCAAGTGTTTATAGATCTCTATAGCTTGATTCGATTGACAATAGGATGTACTAAAGGTAGATTTTAGAAGAGATTGGCTGAAGGCAAATTTCCACGTGCAACATTGGTGTTGTTGGGTGCGTGTCTAGCAATGAACAGCATTGTTGTGTTTGGATTCCGCCTGTCTATCTATCAGTCTATCCATCTGCCTTTGTGCTCTGTTGGAGAGACAGTACTCATTGTCAGCAACTCACAAAGTTGCTTGCAGGTTGTACAGCTGAAAGAACGGGTCTGTTGGATTTGTTTTGTTGCTTGGATTGACACACAGACCAGCATGAGTGGCAACTGGGCTGAGCAGTGTGTGAATGGGCTTGCTTGTCCCATCGACTTATACCAGGCCCATACAACTACACAAGATCCAGCAAAATCTACCATTGCCGTCGTTGCAAAATTCATGTAAGAACTCTGAGTGTTGTGCACTTTGCGCATTTGGGTCAGTCTTCCAGATGGATCTTCCCAGGTGGCAACAGAAGGCAATGCCAGCTAGTATGAAGTATGGGATTGGGGCTGGTGTGGAATAGGGAAAGGATATGGCAGGGAAGACAAGAAGTGTTTGAACTGAAAGCATGAGTACGTGAGACAGGTTGTCATGCTGACCATGCACTGACAATGCATTGCACGTAAACCATAAACTTGAAAATGCTATGCACTTGAAACCCATGCACTCAAACACGTTTCAGCGATCAGAGTATACTCATTGGCATACTGAGTGTTGGCAGAACAGAAACACACTGCAGCACTGTGACTGTTTCTGTGCATGGTGGCCAGGGCACTGCGGGCCTGACAGTTTCCTCCACGCTACCAAGATTTTCGGATATGTACACCCTCAGGATAGAGAGCACTGCAAAGGGGGACAGCAGGTGATGGAACATGCTGAAATCCCCCTTCATACAAGTGAACTTGTGCTCAGCCTTGTTAAACTTCTCATACTTGTGTACTGGTGGTGTAAAATGTGGCTAAGTGAGTCAAATGGGGCAGCATTGGTAACCATATCTTCTTGGACTGTGTTTTTCCAGGAATGCTCTTTTCAGAAGAAGTTGATGCGAGAAAATACTTGTTATGTTGATATATAGCTCTTAGTGGTGCTTAGTGCACTTGGTACCCTCGGCTCGATCCATGAGTCCTGACGATCCAGTCGCACTTTCTGTTGTTCCCCACCCATATTCTGCTGCTTTGAATGAAGGCATCCCTCCCTGGGCCACTGCTGGCGTGTGTTCAAACCTGCTGCATTCCACAGTAGACGTCATGTTTGCTATCTTGCTGAGCAGCAGCGACCCCTTTCTTTTATGTCACGATGGGGTTTGGCACAAGTGCTCATAGTCGATTCAAGTTTTGCAAATCAAGGTCAAGTGCTATCTGTCATGTGTTACTGTCCACACATTGCTCCTTGTACAGGCCCTTTCTGCCTTGTCGAGGGCCACTCCACAGCATTCATTGTTCGCTTCTACTTAATCTGCCAAGATTGACCGGGGGTTTCTCATTGCTCTACCATTGCCAACTGGTCTTCTGGAAATTTGCACTGCAACTATGAATCGGTTGCTGCTAAGAACTGTAGCAGGGGTAGTGCAGTGTGTGCAGTAACACGCCGCCCACAGTCGACTGTGCAGTTTGTCCTAATGGCCCTTCTGGCCTGGAGGGCTTCGATTTTCGATTTGCAGCCTGCGATGTCCTTCGGAGCATCTCTTTCCAGGGCTGCTTGGGATAAATTGCTGATCCTGGCGTTCTGCGCAGTCTTATGTCACCAGCTGGTGCCCCTAATGATATTGATTGGGGCATGAAACTGGTGTGGCCGTATTGTGCTCCTGCCCTCTCCTGCTACAGGGGCTATCGCTCGTTGTTTGGGACAAACGTACCAGCAGTCAGAGGACCACCATACAACTGGCTTGGACATCCCTCTAGAATGCCCCAAATTTCTGTGTGCCTCCCTGTCTTATTGTTTGGTGCGTGCGACTGACATGTGCACTGTTCACGAATGCGCAGGCCTGCAAAGGAATCCACGAACAGCATCACAAAATACTTCCACGCAGATGGCTACCTCTCGTCCTCCGCCTTCCAAGACGATGTCACGAAGCTCCTGCACTCCTTTGAGCACTCGACAAAAGACTGACGAGGACCTGCTGCCCAGCTGCCCATTCCTCTCTTCCCATAAGGAAGAAAGGAGGCCCTGTGGAATCCTTATGGAAAGGAATCCTTATAGTTTGCCATAAGGTTCGCTTCCAGCTTCTCCTCAGTCCCACCCCCCCGTTTGACCCCAGAAAAGGGCAGTGTGCAGTGTCGAAGATGGTGGCAAGTTGGGAAAAGCTCTGAATTGAATTGATTGTTGGATGTTAGCCTGGCATGTGTCTGTTCTTCCCGCTTGGCGATTGACTCGCGTCACCGCCTGCTCTTGGAACTTAGGACGCTCGGGGCTGAGTGGGAAATGCCAACTGGTGTGGAGGGCCATGTTGGTGCGTTCTGTGTGGTGGGGGAAAAATTGTGCACTCCACACAGTGCTGCAAACATTCGTTTGTGAATCGATGACCGCGGCTTCGCTCAGCTGTCACCAGTTGCATTTGTGGGTTTGATGGCCGTCCACGAACGACAGTTGGGAGCATTTCGTGCTCTGGGTGCTGTGGGCAACCCTGTGGAATTGGGGGAATTTTCCATCGAATTGGGATCCCTCCTATAAAAAGGTTTCAACTTTACAAGTCATGCCCCATCCGTGGCATTTCCAGAGCCGTGGAATAGGGGAAGAGGCCTCAGCAGCGTCTTTCGTCAAGGCTTGAGCTTAAAACCAAGAAGACAAGCAGGCATAAGTACGAATTTGTGGGCCCATGCGAGGAACTCCGCGGAACCAACAGGCAATTGTGGTTGTGAACATGCCCTCAGACGTTTAGCGCGTTGAGCTCACACGGCTCCGTGGCAACAAGATGCTGTTCAAGGGAAAGCGGTTGGTGCGACTAAAACTGCTCCCTTTGAGTGCACACGGGAAGTGTGAATCCCCGATCGCCGATGCTTCAACGGGGTTGGCACATGGCCAGACACTAGGCCACTCCCATGCAGAACTCGAGCTTACATATCTATTCGTCCGGTTCCATGTTCGAACGCAACTCTCCCTGCCGAATGGCGGCGCCAACCACGACCAAACTTTTGATCCTGCAGGTTTTCCCTTGCCTCACAACCACCCGTCCACCTATTTGACCCCCAAGGACCGTCATCAATGACAAACGCCAATACAACAACTCAGCCACATACCCAAACAGTTTTAGAATTCAGTCAAAGAAATGGCTTTAAGATATTTTCACGAACATGTCCTTTGTCTTTTTGTCAGAAACTGCCGATCATCAAGCAAAGGAGTGCACATAGGTGGGGAAGCCCTCAGCAACATGCTGCACCAGGAGTAGTGACATCCTGGTGTGAGTAGCCTTTGTTTCACAGCAACCTTTTCTGCAGCTGTGTTTTCCTTGGGTCATCTCAAGCAGCGAATCACGCTTGAAATGCACCACCAATCGCTAGCCATCAAGCATAGGTGATCCACCCAGTGAAGCGGTGGTCATTCTGCCGCTAAGCGAACAGGGCTTTGTTCGCGCTGTGTCTTGCCCACAGTTTTCGTTTTGGTTGGAGAACGTGCCCCAACGAGATACCATCGATGCCTCGGCGACTGCTTGCGCAGTCTCCCTGGGGAAGGCGTTGGTGACCAAGCGGCAACAGTCACAGGTCACCCTCATCGGGCTGCGGATTGTTGCAAGACATGCTGTGTTACTTCCCGCCACCGCTTCTGGCAACTGGGTGCAGGCACCGCGCTTTTCCTGCACCAGAAAAGTACCAGTTGTCTTGTCCAATGCGTTCACCCCGTGCCTGTTTATATGGCAATACCTGCCATGAAAGCAGCCACTACAGATCCGAAAGGCGCTTTTCCGATTGGCTGTAGTTGGGTACCTTTATGCTTTTTGCGCACAGTGGAGGCTTGGATTCTTCTGGGCTGTATCTAGTGGACTGACACCAACAAACATGCGTTGGACAAGACTGTGCCAGTTACGCATCTTTGAAGATCATGCGCCAAATTTGGCGCTTGATGTCAAGTTTCTCCCTGCGATTCGGACAAAGTTCTGGGCCGTTCGTTGCACGATCACTCGGTCGTCTCCAGCCTACCGTTCACGAACAATACGCCACAACTGAAGCACGTGTGTGCATCGCCCAGGCGGGCGCTGTCCTGTCAAGGGCGTCGCCGCACAGACCAGACATTCTGACGCCATCTCTGAACCAGGCAGGGCCAGTCGAGTGGAGGAATGGCGTGACAAGCGCAGCCCCGTGCGACAGAGCGCTCGTGGCTGGTCCATGTCCAGCCAGGGGGGGGCACACAGCCAGACAGACCTCCAGCATCTGACATTACAAGTGCCCAAGCCGTGCGTCCCTCACCCCGCCCCGCCGCGCCACGCCGCAGCGATGTGAGCCTGCGCTAATGCCTGCCAGGGTAGGGCACACAGCGTGTTCCCCAACAACCCTGCACAATCCAGCCACGAACATGGACCACCCACTAGATGCCGCATCCAGCACAGCCCCCCAAGTGCCCCCCATGGACCACAACTCGCAATCCGGGACTCCCCCTCCAGGCCTGTTTTGGCCACACTCGACTACAGGGCCGTTGGCCGGCAGGGAAGTTGCGTCATTGACGTCCCATCTTCATCTCCATCCCAGTGGGCGCAGTGCAAGCACCGGCCGCGTCCATACATCAACGGGCAGCCCCGCACAGCCCCGGACCAGCAACAAACGGACGTGAACCCGCCAAAATATCATTCACCCCAGACCTCGGTACCTGCCATCCCCTCGGCCGCTCATCAGCGAGCGGGCCGCTAGCTCGTAGGCACACAGAACGTACTCCACACACCACAACGAACCGTCGCCGATTGTCCAATTACTTGATCCCAAGGGACGATCAGCCAGACCAAGGGGCTCGATCAGAAATCCTTTCCAGATAGACACATGATCCTTCTTCCCACGTCGCGAGCGACAAAGAATTTCGAGGCACTGCACCGCAAAGGGCGCAGTCCCGCACACATCTTGTTGCCCCCGGTCCACCCCAATGCACACTGCGCAGAGCGGCCTTCCGAGAGCACCATGACTTGCAAAAACCTCACTTCCAGCCAACCCTAAATCACACAACTGCAGCAGCCCACACGAGACACACAAGTCTACTTTTGCCTACTACAATACCCTCCCAGCAGTACACATTTACACGTACAGAACCCAAAAAGCAGCGCATGCAGTCAGACACGGCTGCGGATCCACCACCACCAGTGCTGCATCTATGGACAGGCCACTATGCACCACCGTGTAGAGATTGCCGCAACAACAGTGCACGAACAATGCCCCATTCATCTGCACACACAACAGGACAAAAACGTCCCCATCTGACAAACAATCCCTGAGACATTCCCAAGGGCGCACACAACTGGGGGTCTTGGCTGCCTGTCTGCCGTTCTGCTGTTGCCACAATGTGTGGACAGGCCACCATGAGTTCAGTCATTCGGACAGAAAATATCCCTGCTCCCAGCACATGCTCCAGCAGCACAAGAATCAGTGCCACAGTTGCGATACCAACATGTATCACATCGACCAGATCCTGCTGCCCATCCTGGTCGCAGGCTCACCAGGCAGCCCCAAAGAATGGCGCATCTCCACAAGCTTTCCCACTGCATGGCTCCATTTTGTCCCCAGCCAGGGCAAGGGCCCAGGCGGTTGACAGCACAGCTAGCATCAAACGCACACGATGTCGACCGGGCTGAAAAATGCAGCTAGGTGCACCCTCAAACACACCAAACCCTCACAGAACGCAACACCAATACAGTACTTATGGCAATGCAACCCACCACACAAAGGGTGCTGCCAACCATTCATACCTGAGCCTTGGGAACGGCTGGAGCATGGAGCATGTCCAGCCCCATTGTTCTAGGGCCCCGTGCCTCACCAGCGCGCGCTCGAGTTGCGGGTGCGCGCATTCTGCATGTAGTCGGTCATGGCTGACGTCTGGGGCTCGTCCTCTGCCTCCTCGATCTGTTCATCCTCAATCTCCATCTGCTGACGGACAAGGTCAGCAAATGGGTGCACGGGGCCTGGAGGCACAAGATTGGTTAGTGGGAATTGCACAGTGGACCTTTGCAAGCACTACCATTAAAAGAGGAGAAATAAAATGACAGGTAGAATCCATAGATGACTACATATTCAAAGAAACAGTAGACAAGGTGCTATCAACTGCTCTCTGCAGCAGTGGGCAATGATTGTTGTGGAATGGGAACCAAACATTTTTGGTGTTAAACAAAAACAATACATATTGGCCTGCGCCATGCTGAGGGCATTTTACCAGTTCCCTCGTTGGCCTCATCAAAGACAAAGCTATAGTTAGTTATCACAATACATTGCAGCAGACAAAACTGCATTCGAGCCTTTTTATGAAACCAGAAACAGGGCATGCAATGGGCGCCATCCTCCTCAGGTGAGAACTAAAGTGATACTTCTGAATGAGCACAAGCACACATAGCTCTTGGTCGTGCTGTGAACGATTTCTGTTTGTGCATGTTTCTCAACATACTGCTCAACACACCCACCACAGGATGCTGTGTAGATTGATTCACAGCTTTCCAAGCACAGTGCACAAACATGTGACAGAGATCAGAATGAACCAGACACGCGGGCATGTGCTGTGACAAGTTGCCAGACACCAGACAGACACCTAAAACACTGGCATTCCACTTTCCAGCAATGCAAACATAACTGCCCTTCATTCACGGCCATGGGGCGATGCTCTGCACCCCATCTAATCATTGCTCAGTGTGCGTGTCAGGTCATCAGAATCAGTCTGCCAGAAATGATCAGTGTTTCCTAATTTCTGACACAACAAAAGTGGTGGTGACTCCAACGTTCGAGAAGGACGCACCCATGGGCTCATCGGCTGCAAAGCAGGTCCCCTTGACCCAGGGATGATCCAGAGCTCTCTTAGCTGTCAGACGTGCAGTCTGATCGACCTTCAGTAGCCTGCTGATCAGATCCTTCAGCTGGGGTGAGAGTCGTTTCCAGTTAGGGTCCTCCTTATTCCACCGTCCAGTTGTGATGTTCCGGTACATCCTGGTCTGATTGTCGTCGTCTGCATGACAATACAGTTGCAGAGAAGATGAGTACTGCACTAACCTTCAGGACGATGTCCATGCTGTCTTTGGTGAAACTTGATATGTTTGCCTCTTGGTTCGAGGCCAAACTAGACACTGAAAACGAACTCAAGCAGTATCAACAGTTTTGGGAACAGTTTCAGCCTTTTTCAAGGTGTTGTCCTTCAGTTCAGACCACCCTCTTTAGCAGCTGTACTGGCTGCAAAGTGCCTTGCCCACTGCACTGTATTGGGCGCGGGACACGCGGGACACATTCCAAGTACATCGCATTTGGGAGTCCATGAACCACCTAACAGGAAATTGCTGTGTTGTCGGCATAGCTCATCAGGCCAAAGGGGGAGTTCCAACATCTTTTGCACGCATTTTTGTGCCCGATGCACTTATTGCAACTGCAAATGCGCTCCATGTCCGTGCTGAACTCAGGAATGTCAAGGAAGGAAGGTGTAGTCACAACTGGAAAACCAACAGGAGAAAGAGGAAATACTGCTAGTCTGAAGCACAGCAGTGGTTGAGGTTTCAATCCACGGCACATTCTTTGGCCGTCCTGCAATCAGCCACTGAGCCCCGTCCCCCCCCTTTCAGTTCCAACACCTTTTCAAAAAAGCCACTCTCTGCTATACAACCACAATGGGCCCTAACATTCTCCCTTGAGTGAGGCCTGTCAAAGGGTTGATAGATCTGAGCCTTCCCAAGTTTTGGACCACAAGGAGAACAGGCCACCAGTGAATGAGTTGGGGACTTGCACAATATCATGCGGAAGCACAGCAGCACACCCCACTTTTGTGTACCACCACAAATTACAGCCTTGAGAGGAATTTGCATGTCTCAAGGGGAACTCACAGAATGGCGTGTAGCAGCACATCATGGCATACAGCACGACGCCAATGCTCCACATGTCCACAGCAGGGGTGTAGTGGTCAGATAGTTCATCCACGCCCAGCACCTCCGGGGCTACATACTCTGGGGAGCCGCACATCGTGGCCAGCACAGTCTCATCCTTTCCGAAAAACTTCGACAGGCCGAAGTCAGCGATCTTGACCTTGGAATCCAGGCTCTCGTCCATCAGAAGGAGGTTCTCAAGCTTGAGGTCTCGGTGCACAACGCCTGCACAAGAAAGGTTGGTAGCCAATGGCGACATGGGGCACAGGAATGTTAACGATGTCCTGAAGCAAACTGACAGACTGACAGCTGGCAAAGTACTGGGCCTTGCTCAAGCAATTTGCCCAATGAAAGACAACACATGATAAAGCAAAATACCAATGTGCAACATTGACAAGGGACAAGGCTTGGGAACACCAAAACACAACTTTGGCACATTGTGGTCCTGATTCAGCACCTAAACGCTTCAAGGCTTCAGGGCTGGGGCATGAGGACTGAGACATGGGAAATGCCGCCACATACCATGCTCATGCAGGTATGCCACCCCTTCGATGACATCCCTGATGAGGATGCTGGCCGCCTTCTCAGAGTAGGGGCCAAGCCTCTGCAGCCTGCAAAACACACATGCACTCATTTGAGTATGCAACTGGATGGATTCAGCAAACGGCTCATACAATCGTTTCAACAAAAACTTCATCAATGCAAGCACCCTTTGATCGTGCTTGTACAATGGCACTGGTATGTGCCACCATTTCCGGGTCAGGAATGTGTTCCCTCGCTCAGATGCAACAGACCCCATTGCTCCACCCATTTGTTCATTGCCAGTACTTGTTCAACCTGTTCCAAAACTACCAGAGACAGAATCTTTATGACTCAAACACATGGTTTCAGGGCCACCGACCCTCACCTGTCCAGCACCTCCCCTCCAGTCACGAACTCGGTGACGATGAAAACCTTCTGGTGCGTCACAAAGACATCATAGACCTGTATACAGCGCTGGTGCGAGATCTGGGGACCATGAGGGCAAGTTCAGTCAGTGCCCCGCCTGGCCCAAACAGGGCTCTTTCAATACAGAAGCCTATCCTACAGGCATGTTGGATTCCTGTTGCACACACCACCCATGCGCCAAGACATCTCAATCTCCCTATCTTTTTGTGGTTCGCCATGTGTGGTGGCCAATGACTTTGGTGGTGTGAATGTGTGTGTACATGGGGCTGCACACACACACACGCCAACTGGCTCCAGAGGCATGGTTCCCCAGCACCACTGTTGTAACCAGAACTGAATGAGCACTATTAATAGGTGAGACAATAGGAGCTCAATTGAGGACACTGCTGACTGGACCGGATACAAGGGACAGAGTTCCTGTTGTTCCTTTGCTCCGCTGTAAACCGTTGCCATGCGCTCGAGCCTACGGTCCCCAGTCAGGTGTCACCACCCCTCGATCCCGCCTGCCTTCGTCACCACCACGCACATCGGACCACACCACCACCAGGGTTACCAGCCAGACCGCAACCGTCTTTCCCAGCAGCCACGAGAAGGGCGCCGACGCTCCCACAGGCGGGCAGTAGCACACATGGGGCGCAGACCTGCCCCACCATGACCCCACACAATCTGACCATTCCCCATCCAAATTTTCGCCAAAGTTGGCCGAATCATCCGTCCATCACCTTGGCCAGCCCTGGGGGCGGCCAGCCCCGCGCGAGCAGCTGTCCCCCCCTCCCCTCCTCACCTGGAGCAGCACATTTATCTCGTGCTCCAGACGATCGTCGCCGGGATCGTACTTCGACTTGTCCACAATCTGCTCAGACGCCAACCGTCAGCTCCGCCAGGTGACCCCGGGCAGCAGCGAAGGGTGTGTGAACATCCTTACAGGCAACGTGACAAATCGGCACACTGGTCATGTCGCGTGTCTCTGCTGAAACTCATACAGTCAAACAGCGTCCCCCTGCCAGCGGTCTACAATGACCTCACAATAATTGGCAACAGCGGCGAGGGGAGGGCATCCTTGGAGCGGACCCGACGGCAGGCCCCTCTGCGTGCGCCTGGTCGCAGCATTGGGTCCCAGCCCCTCCCCTCACCCCAAGCCAGGAGGCCGCAGGCTCAAAGGTCGTCCCTCCTCGAGCGCCAAACACCCCGCCCACCCCCGCACCTTGATGGCCACCTGGTCCCCCGTCTGTTTGTCCCGCCCCTTCTTCACCACTGCGTAACCTGCAAGGTCGACGGCAGACCCCGGGGACCGGGCGTCAGACGCAGCCCACGTGAGCCCCCCCCCGAGCGCGCTGCCTGTTGTGTCCATTCGTCACTCCAAGTGGAGCATCGGCGCCGCAATGCGAACCCTCCCCGACCATGCAGCCCTTCGGACCGTTACAATAATCATGATCCACCTTCCCCGCCCGCCTTGCTGGCCAGGCTGCCGGCCACGGGCCCTTGCGTGCCGCCCGACCATCACACCGACCCACTTTGAAGGATCCAACAAATGCGACCGGTTCATTTCAGGCGGATGTTTCTTTTCGACCACAGCCGGTTTAATGCTCCAGCCCTCGAGCTCCCGGCCCCGCCGATCCAGCCGGGGCCCCGGCGGGGGCCGCCACCATCGGCCGCCGCGGCGCCCGGCGCGCAGGGGGGCGGCTCCCGCGGGCGCGCACCTCCATAGCCGACGTCCTCCCCGACCTCATAGTGTTTAATCACGTCGTACACGCTCGCTGCATCAAACCACACGCCGGCTTGAGCGCACGCCGTGAGCCCACGAGAACCGCGGGAGCATGAAGCAAAGTTGTTAAGCAACAACACAGAGACTCCCCCCCCCTTCCAAACATTTTGAATTCACATGCCCTGCCGCGGCCGGCCATCCCAGGGCCATGCCGCCCGCGCGCCCCACCGATCCGCCCCTCAGTCCCCCTCCCCGCGCCCATCGATACGCGATACACATCAATACGATACCCACTCCGTGGCGCCCAGTTCCCAGCGACGCCAGCGCCCCTCCCCGGGCCCAAACAAGCCAATCCACCCGCGGCCCACACACACACACACGCGCCCACACACACAAACACACACCCCGGCGCCTCACCTCGGCTGTACACCACGGGCGAACCTCGCGGCATGGGGCGGTGCACCCATTGGCCACCCTGCACGGGCGACCTGAGCTCTCTGGTGATGCTCTCCTCGGCCTGTTGGACCCCCCCCCCGCGCCGATCGCTGCGCCCAAAGGGCGCGACAACGGCCCTTTCCGGCCCCTCGTGCTCGCCAGGCGCGAGAAAAAATGGCGGCTTGGCGCCTGGCGCGTGCGGTGAGGAGGCTGGGGACTTGGGGTGCGGTCTGGGCTGCCAAGAAGTTGACGGGCTGCGAGGGGGGCAGCCGCGCCGCGCTGGCGGAATGTTCTGCGGCATCTCGCACGCCCCGCGGGGCTCCGGGCGGACTGGTGCCAAAGTACCAGGGGGCGGGGTACGACAGGGGGGGCTCGGGAGGGCGTTATGTACTGGGTGACGGGGGTGGGGGCAAATTTTGTGGGCGTTGAGGGGTGTTGGGAAATCAGTCAGGGTGGGGCAACGTTCCGGGGCGGGGATTAGGCGGATTTGGCAGCGGGTTGCGTGAGGCGGAGCCGCGTTTTGACGGCAGCGGTGGTGATTGGCGTTTTGATTGGCGGCGGCGAATGAGGCGGCGTTCCAACTGAGAAGACCATTTTTTTTTGGATGCCTTCTGGGCGCTGTTCGCATGCCTTTTTTTCTCATTGTGTTTCCGCTTGCTTGGAAGAGCATCTGCATTGAGGGCTCCGTCTCTTCCTCGGCAGTGCACTTTGTGCTCCTCGGAAGGCGAGGAATGTGTTCGATTCGAAGAATCGGCAACCTTGAACAAATGGAAGTGTGCAATGCTGGTGCTCATTGCACCCCTTGATACCTGGTATTGGTCCAACGGATTGTTAAGGCTCCCGCTTCGCTGGTTCACAGTCCCACGTCGGCTACTGAAATGGTAAGAGCGAAAGTTGTGGCACAGCCTTTTGGGCTGTACAAGTCTGGGCTTTTGGGCTTTGTCATACCATTTCTTCTGTACTTGATGAGGACGGCGGCGCTGTACCCTGTGAAACGCCCTTACACCTTGCGCTCGCAAAATTTGGATGCTATCCACAATTATTACCCCGCACGATCCGTGCTAAAATGCTGAGAATAGTGTACTAGCAGGATGAGTGCGCTGATATTGACCAGGCAGCGCTATCTTAGCATTGTTCCCGATGCCAATTTCACGAGCGTTTCTGGCGACCATATGTGCACTCCCTCATCCAACATTGTGTCCGTTCCCCATGACTTTCAATCGTCTCGGCCCGCCCTGCGCTCGAAGCATCTCGGCTCGTTGCTTTCTAGGATCTGCACCTTGAATGCCATTTCGAGCGAGTGCGTTCAGAACACTCTGAGTCTAGATATATGCCGGACGTGCCCTCTCTGGCTCCAGGGCTGCTCTTATTTGAGGACTGCAACAATTGACTGCGATCAACGCGCTCATGAATGCACTGGGCATGAGCGACAGCATTTGAAAACCCGGCTATATCATTAACGATCTGGTAACGTAATATTACGGCATAAGTGTGCTTCCATCATATTCTGTAAACCCGATGCTCGACTGTCATTTAGCATCCAGCAAGGGATGGGCCTTTGCTTATATTCCCTAGTTGTTCTACCTCGTCTGCTTCTGCCGTTGTCCTGTTCCTTGTATTTCTTCTGTTTTTTTTGTTCCATTTTCCCTTGCATTCAATCCGAAGACTGCCAATGCTTGACAACAGCAAACACGCACACAATGATCACATTCTCCAAAAACGTTCATTTCTGGAAGCGTACATCAGTACGCGTTTCTGCACTGTAATGCTTGAAAAGCACAAGCAGAACTTCGACTGGCATACGACTGTCACATTTCCATCCCGTCATGCCAAGGGTCCCATTGCTTCTGGTTGGGGTGCCCATATGGGCATGGCACCCTTAGAGAAGGCGCTATATCGAATTTGGTACGCTCAGCGTCAATTTGACGATAGAAGAGGGAGAGTCCAGACCTGCGACTCTAAGAGATTATCTGGTTGCCACACATTCGGCATGAGCAGTTCACTGCTCACTACTATGTACTGCAGTACACACAGTGGGCGTGCCCCCAAAGCTGCTGATAAACGACAAAAAAACTTATGAATTGCTGCGAAACCTCCCTCAAAGTTTTGATTTTTAGGAATGGCCCCATATTGTCTCGATTGACGGTCTTTGGGGCTGCGAACATTGCTTGCTGCTGCTTTTACAATACCACTTTTTAGCGCACCAAAATCGCTGCAAATATGGCTATAGCCAACCTCATAAATATATTGAAAGTTGTATCGCACCATCACGTAACGCTGCTGAGTCATCCTGGCCTCGACATTAGGATTGACGCTAAGGAGCGTGGGGCGAGAGGGGTCCGAGCTCAGCGTCATATTGGCGCCAAGCGTACCAACTTCGACACAGTGTCTTCGTTTTTTGTTTGGAAACCAGCAGCGCTCATTCTGTCATTTTCTCTATTTAGTGATGGCCATTCTCATGCGGCGTCCCTGCAATGGTGTTGGCATACTGACAAGGGATGATGGTGGATTGCAGTTGTCCGACACCACCCTGACCAGCCTCACTTTTCGTGCACGTGTCCGGATAAATCTACGTCCCGATGCACACAGCCATTGACGAAACGCCACATGTGGCCGGTGGGGTGGCTACTCAGTTGCGATTGAAACATGTGTGTCATACGATTGCCCCTTCTGTGCCGTGCTTCGTGGTTCCTGCACAATCGTCAGAACCCGTTGTGCTTCCTTGCGGCCTTGTTCGCGATCGCCTGCCCCCTTGTTGCCTTCACTCCTGGTATTTGTGAGATGAAACACACAGCAATCTCGAGACTGGATGGGAACCTTTTTGGCGCAGGCTCCCTTGGGCGGAGCTGCAAATAATAAGACATGGGCGTCAGCGGGAGGTTCCATTCCGTTAGGTGCTGCCGGAGATGCACACAGATACGCAGGTACACACAGGCGCACTGGTCGCCGACAAGTGGGTGCTCTTTGCCGATTGACTGTACTTGGGGTGCCAGTCATCTACGAGGGTGATGGCCCACCAACTCCGCCCTCCACAGCCGGTGGCTTCCCCAATAGATGTGACGAAGATGGACGATCTCCTGGAGGCAGCGACTCTCCCCCGTTATGCTGCGCGAGCCAATAGGCGGTGCTCCAACGAGACGAGGATGCTGCAACGGTCCCCCATGGCTATCGCCGTCGTCCAGCTGCATTATTCGTTGGCCACGGAGTTTCGGACGCCGGCGCAGGAAAGCGCAGTTCCGGGGGGAAGAGGCCATTGCACCGGTCGCGTAGAGGCGGGCGCCCCCCCCCCGGGACGCCGGCACAGGTCGGCAGAAATGCAAGCCCTGGAGTTTTCACCCTGCTCTGAGGGACATGGATACTCATGCGTGGCGGCCATCAGCACAGCCTTCGCGCACACCATGCTCAACAGGATTTCCCGCAACGCGCTTCGTAGCATGGTCAGGAACATGCTTCCCGGCTTGCCTGGCAACATGTTTCGCAGCAGCCCAGCGCACCATGAGCGCCCAGCGTACCCCACAGCGTGCCCAGTAGTTGCTGCTGAGCGTCACGACTGGCAGGCCGAGTGTGGTATCTTCTGTAAGCTGTGGCTCTCCACGCGTGATCAGCAATGCGTGAAAGGTGGCAATCGACATGGAGCAAAGGGCTGAGGGAAGGTGAAAGCGACAGGCACTTCGGGCATGAACTCGGTGAGTCCCTGCAACAAAAGCGCATTCGATCCCAGAAATTCTGGCACGTCACGCAATGGAGTATGACTTAATTTTGCTGAGTTGCCTGATTTTCATGCACCTAAGTGCATAAGTTATCCATGGAGAGCTCTGGAGCTTCTAGAGGCGCAAGATCTTGCGCTGGGTGGAACCCGTGGTTGGTCGTTCCATGAACATGAGCGCTTGGTAACATACTGAACATCCATGGGCTTCGTTGATCAAAGCACGCCGTAAGCTTGGGCCCGTGCCGTTACGTCGCTCAGCACGCCTCTTCAGACCGCAGGTTGCCGTGGCACAGTTGCCAAGAATCTTGCCCAATGCTCAGTACAGTGCGAGATCAATCATCACGTCATGCTTTCACGGCGCCACCATTTCATCACTGTCAGTTGTGTGTTGGCTGATGGGGGGTCAATGTATGGTGATAGATGGCATGTCAACTCTCCAAAGTTGAGCGCACGAGTTTTACATGCGTTGTGAGGCTCACATTTATCTTTGCCATATGTGTGTTACGCGCCTCATTTTCACGCTTTCAAACGCGCTTGTACTGGCCATTGTTAACCGTATCTTGGAATTTCCCAGTTTTCGTGTTTACAGCTCTTATTTTGGCACGCGCGAGGGAGCGGGGGAGGCAACGGTTTACGGTTTTAGCCATTTGCTTTTGAGATTTGGTTTGGAGAGCTTAGTTTCAATGAACATGGTCAAAGCAGGCTGCGCATGTACGACGAGCGCATTTTTGCGTAAAACTGACTTCTGAACCCCCCAGATCTGAGGAGGCTGGGGGACGCAGGGGGGGCACTAATTAGTGGGATATCCTTTATAAAGGGATATCCTCTCCAGCGTACAGCCAGAAGCTCTAGCTAACCTGAGATGCGGATGTCGAGGATGCTGAAAGGCTGATAAGCGCCTGTTTCAT